CAACCAGGCTAAAGCATGACTTAAATGAAAAGATCATTTTTGAACATTAATCAGAGTTTCTCCAAATATCTCTCGTGCTCATTACTTATAACAACAGTTTCTTCTTCTACTGTTCCCACGGCCATCGTTTGACTTTCCCGTCATAATCCAAAGTACTCTACTACTGGACTGGACCCGGCGAGTACGTAAAGTATTTGTAGTACTTTATATACTTCTGCTGATAAACTCTGAGTGAACACAAGTGAGAATCAGATCACATTAATTCCGGGCGATTGCCAAAGGACGCGGCAGTGAAATTAATTAGTTTGAGATTGAGAACGAGTGTGTGCTTATCCCGTCTCATCGCTCTCTCTCTCTCTCTCTCTCGCGGGGGAGGAGAGAGGGAGGAGGGGGAGGAGGGAGGGAGGAGGGGGGAGGGAGGGGCGGCCATTTTGCACATTTATGAACCAAAAACGCACCAAAACCAGCAGATACTGAGCCCTTTGTGACGTGAGAGAGATACAAGTTCAGGACTGTGCGTGCGTGTTTTAAAAGATGGACGACTTCTACTGCAACTTCTACTACTACATCTACTACTACTACTACTACTGAAACTTCTACTGCTACTACTGCATCTACTACTGCTATTACAACTTCTACTGCGGCTTGTACTACTACTGCTACTCCTGCTACTGCAGTTCTTATATACATTTCATTACAGCAGTCTTATATAAATAATTTTACCTGTAGATATTTTTTCTCCAATCCAGTTAATTTACTTTTGACTTTACACATTATTTCCTGGAGTAACTGAGTCACTGCAGTATTAGTAGTGTGTAGTGTAGTATGTCCCTGCACGTACCTAAACTGCAGTATTAGTAGTGTGTAGTATAGTATGTCCCTGCACGTACCTAAACTGCAGTATTAGTAGTGTGTAGTGTACTATGTCCCTGCACGTACCTAAACTGCAGTATTAGTAGTGTGTAGTATAGTATGTCCCTGCACGTACCTAAACTGCAGTATTAGTTGTGTGTAGTATAGTATGTCTCTGCACGTACCTAAACTGCAGTATTAGTAGTGTGTAGTGTAGTATGTCTCTGCACGTACCTAAACTGCAGTATTAGTAGTGTGTAGTATAGTATGTCCCTGCACGTACCTAAACTGCAGTATTAGTAGTGTGTAGTATAGTATGTCCCTGCACGTACCTAAACTGCAGTATTAGTAGTGTGTAGTATAGTATGTCTCTGCACGTACCTAAACTGCAGTATTAGTAGTGTGTAGTGTAGTATGTCTCTGCACGTACCTAAACTGCAGTATTAGTAGTGTGTAGTATAGTATGTCCCTGCACGTACCTAAACTGCAGTATTAGTAGTGTGTAGTGTAGTATGTCCCTGCACGTACCTAAACTGCAGTATTAGTAGTGTGTAGTGTAGTATGTCCCTGCACGTACCTAAACTGCAGTATTAGTAGTGTGTAGTATAGTATGTCTCTGCACGTACCTAAACTGCAGTATTAGTAGTGTGTAGTATAGTATGTCCCTGCACGTACCTAAACTGCAGTATTAGTAGTGTGTAGTATAGTATGTCCCTGCACGTACCTAAACTGCAGTATTAGTAGTGTGTAGTATAGTATGTCCCTGCACGTACCTAAACTGCAGTATTAGTAGTGTGTAGTATAGTATGTCCCTGCACGTACCTAAACTGCAGTATTAGTAGTGTGTAGTGTAGTATGTCTCTGCACGTACCTAAACTGCAGTATTAGTAGTGTGTAGTATAGTATGTCCCTGCACGTACCTAAACTGCAGTATTAGTAGTGTGTAGTGTACTATGTCCCTGCACGTACCTAAACTGCAGTATTAGTAGTGTGTAGTATAGTATGTCCCTGCACGTACCTAAACTGCAGTATTAGTAGTGTGTAGTGTAGTATGTCTCTGCACGTACCTAAACTGCAGTATTAGTAGTGTGTAGTATAGTATGTCCCTGCACGTACCTAAACTGCAGTATTAGTAGTGTGTAGTATAGTATGTCCCTGCCCGTACCTAAATAAATGAATAGAAAGTATTTTGGTCCCGGTGTTATCATAGTGGCGCGTTAGCATAGATCAGTGGCTAATGTCGTCCCGGGGCAGTCGATGTAGATGGGATAAATATTTATAAGTGAAATATTTATATCGCAAATACGACTTCGGCAAATTGGACGCTGGATGAGATTTAAATTCTTTATGATGGGGAAGACTAACACCGCGACACACGACGGCACTGAAACAATATTAGACTGTTCATCTGCGTTTTGTTTATGTCTTTAGGGATTTTATCGTTTAAGGCTCGTATGAAAGAGTGGAAATGCATTTGGTATTGATTTACTTATCATTAATAATAACAATAATAACAACAATAATAATGATAATAATAAGCTCATACAGATAAACATTTAAACCAATAAATACATGATTCAAGTGCAACAGCAGCCGAGGTGGTCTCTCTCTGGTCTCTCTCTGGTCTCTCTCTGGTCTCTCTCTGGTCTCTCTCTGGTCTCTCTCTGGTCTCTCTCTGGTCTCTCTCTGGTCTCTCTCTCTGGTCTCTCTCTGGTCTCTCTCTGGTCTCTCTCTCTGGTCTATCTCTCTGGTGTCTCTCTGGTCTATCTCTCTGGTGTCTCTCTGGTCTCTCTCTCTGGTCTCTCTCTCTGGTCTCTCTCTGGTCTCTCTCTCTAGTCTCTCTCTCTGGTCTCTCTCTGGTCTCTCTCTCTGGTCTCTCTCTGGTCTCTCTCTGGTGTCTCTCTGATCTCTCCCTCTGGTGTCTCTCTGGTCTCTCTCTCTGGTCTCTCTCTCTGGTCTCTCTCTCTGGTCTCTCTCTCTGGTCTCTCTCTGGTCTCTCTCTCTCTGGTCTCTCTCTGATCTCTCTCTCTGGTCTCTCTCTGGTCTCTCTCTCTGGTCTCTCTCTGGTCTCTCTCTCTGGTCTCTCTCTGGTCTCTCTCTGGTCTCTCTCTGGTCTCTCTCTGGTCTCTCTCTGGTCTCTCTCTGGTCTCTCTCTGGTCTCTCTCTCTGGTCTCTCTCTGGTCTCTCTCTGGTCTCTCTCTCTGGTCTATCTCTCTGGTGTCTCTCTGGTCTCTCTCTCTGGTCTCTCTCTCTAGTCTCTCTCTCTGGTCTCTCTCTGGTCTCTCTCTGGTCTCTCTCTGGTGTCTCTCTGATCTCTCCCTCTGGTGTCTCTCTGGTCTCTCTCTCTGGTCTCTCTCTCTGGTCTCTCTCTCTGGTCTCTCTCTGGTCTCTCTGGTCTCTCTCTCCGGTCTCTCTCTGGTCTCTCTCTCTGGGTCTGGTCTCTCTCTGGTCTCTCTCTGGTCTCTCTGGTCTCTCTCTCCGGTCTCTCTCTGGTCTCTCTCTCTGGTCTCTCTCTCTGGTCTCTCTCTCTGGTCTCTCTCTCTGGTCTCTCTCTCTGGTCTAGCCCTGCCTCCTCCTCCGTCCTCCTCCGTCCTCCTCCGTCCTCCTCCGTCCTCCTCCGTCCTCCTCCGTCCTCCTCCATTCTCATGTTTCAGGGAGAGCTCTGGGACAGAATGACAAATGGACCAATGTTGTCGTCGGGCGTGCATCAGCGATTCTCTTCCCCGCGGTGCCATCCTCACCTGTGATTTTGTTTATCCGTCTCCATGACAACAGGAATGAAACGGGTGTTTTCCAGGACTCGGAGCGCAACGAGAGAAAGGCGGTTGTTTGGGTCCAAAAGTACTGTACCCAGGTCTTATCCATCCTTCACTCCGCTCAATCATCATGTCCTGCAGGTAACGTCTGGCTCTGGTCCCTGTGTCTGTGATTACAATTGGTTGAATTTCGACCGACCAATCAGCAAGAGTTTGCGTCAAACGAGCAGGTTGTAGTTTGGTGAAGAATGTGATAGTAAAGTATTCTGGTCTGGTTCTATCAAGAAACTGAAGTCGGAACAAGAGGAATGTTTAGCAAATGTAATCGTTGCAAAGAATGCTAAAGCTAAATGCTAAATGCTAAATGCCTCACTCACTCAGGCTATTACATACGTCACAGTAAACTCAGATCCAATCGTTTCAATCTGCAAAAGGAGTTAGCCCCTCCCACCTGTAATATGTACTATGGTGTGGTAAGACCAGGCTAGTCCAAAAGATGCAGCTCACGGAAAACCGCCAACAAGAGGAAACGAGAGGGATTTACAGAGGTTCGGAAAAACTGCAACCGAAACAACAGGACGACCATAAACCGCCCTCGACAGATGCTGCTGGTTGTTATTGACCTGCACCTGTGGAGACCTGCACCTGTGGAGACCTGCACCTGTGGAGACCTGCACCTGTGGAGACCTGCACCTGTGGAGACCTGCACCTGTGGAGACCTGCACCTGTGGAGACCTGCACCTGTGGAGACCTGCACCTGTGGAGACCTGCACCTGTGGAGGTGTTTTGGTCCCAACTCCTCTGTCTCTGAATGACTCACTACACTCAGGGTCAGACAAAACTGGTCTCATAATTCTCCCTGGTCTGTCTTTCTTGTCTCTCTCTGGTCTCTCTCTGGTCTCTCTCTGATCTCTCTGGTCTCTCTCTGGTCTCTCTCTGGTCTCTCTGGTCTCTCTCTAGTCTCTCTCTGGCCTCTCTCTGATCTCTCTGGTCTCTCTCTGGTCTCTCTCTGGTCTCTCTCTGATCTCTCTGGTCTCTCTCTGGTCTCTCTTGTCTCTCTCTGGTCTCTCTTGTCTCTCTCTGGTCTCTCTTGTCTCTCTCTGGTCTCTCTGGTCTCTCTTGTCTCTCTCTGGTCTCTCTGGTCTCTCTCTGGTCTCTCTAGTCTCTCTCTCTGGTCTCTCTCTCTGGTCTCTCTGGTCTCTCTCTGGTCTCTCTTGTCTCTCTCTGGTCTCTCTTGTCTCTCTCTGGTCTCTCTTGTCTCTCTCTGGTCTCTCTGGTCTCTCTTGTCTCTCTCTGGTCTCTCTGGTCTCTCTCTGGTCTCTCTAGTCTCTCTCTCTGGTCTCTCTCTCTGGTCTCTCTGGTCTCTCTGGTCTCTCTCTGGTCTCTCTGGTCTCTCTCTGGTCTCTCTGGTCTCTCTTTAGCCCGTTACAGAAATAGTCTCGTCTGTTTCCCTCTGTCCAGATTCGGGACGTTCCCCAATTTGTCCTCCTCTATAATTCAGCAGCGAAACCCCCCCTGCTGCTGTTTCTCCCCCTCCGCCGCAGACCTAAGTGCAGGCAGTTCATAAAAGCTAAATAAATATTAGATTTTCCGTCGTCCGGTTCAACTTCAAATCCTCGTTCAAGGAGTGATTGATTTTCTGCTCGGGCTGAGAACACTTTCCGAAGGACTTACAATTAGTGTTTTTCACTAGTGCAGAGACCAGAGAGAGAGACCAGAGAGAGAGACCAGAGAGAGAGCAGAGAGAGAGACCAGAGAGAGACCAGAGAGAGACCAGAGAGAGACCAGAGAGAGAGACAGAGAGAGAGACCAGAGAGAGACCAGAGAGAGACCAGAGAGAGACCAGAGAGAGAGCAGAGAGAGAGCAGAGAGAGACCAGAGAGAGAGCAGAGAGAGAGACCAGAGAGAGACCAGAGAGAGAGCAGAGAGAGAGACCAGAGAGAGACCAGAGAGAGACCAGAGAGAGACCAGAGAGAGAGACCAGAGAGAGACCAGAGAGAGAGACCAGAGAGAGAGACCAGAGAGAGACCAGAGAGAGACCAGAGAGAGACCAGAGACCAGAGAGAGAGACCAGAGAGAGAGACCAGAGAGAGAGACCAGAGAGAGAGCAGAGAGAGAGACCAGAGAGAGACCAGAGAGAGAGACCAGAGAGAGACCAGAGAGAGACCAGAGAGAGAGACCAGAGAGACACCAGAGACCAGAGAGAGAGACCAGAGAGAGAGCAGAGAGAGAGACCAGAGAGAGACACCAGAGAGAGACACCAGAGAGAGACCAGAGAGAGACCAGAGAGAGACCAGAGAGAGACCAGAGAGAGACCAGAGAGAGACCAGAGAGAGACCAGTGTGAGAGGCCAGAGAGAGACCAGAGAGAGACCAGAGAGAGACCAGTGAGAGGCCAGAGAGAGACCAGAGAGAGACCAGAGAGAGAGACCAGAGAGAGACTAGAGAGAGACCAGAGAGAGACCAGAGAGAGACCAGAGAGAGACCAGAGAGAGACCAGAGAGAGACCAGAGAGAGGCCAGAGAGAGGCCAGAGAGAGACCAGAGAGAGACCAGAGAGAGACCAGAGAGAGACCAGAGAGAGACCAGAGAGAGACCAGAGAGAGACCAGAGAGAGACCAGAGAGAGACCAGAGAGAGACAGAGAGAGAGAGACCAGAGAGAGAGACCAGAGAGAGACCAGAGAGAGACCAGAGAGAGACCAGAGAGAGAGACCAGAGAGAGACCAGAGAGAGACAGAGAGAGACCAGAGAGAGACCAGAGAGAGACCAGAGAGAGACCAGAGAGAGACCAGAGAGAGACCAGAGAGAGACCAGAGAGAGACCAGAGAGAGACCAGAGAGAGACCAGAGAGAGACCAGAGAGAGAGACCAGAGAGAGAGACCAGAGAGAGACCAGAGAGAGACCAGAGAGAGACCAGAGAGAGACCAGTGAGAGGCCAGAGAGAGACCAGAGAGAGACCAGAGAGAGAGACCAGAGAGAGACTAGAGAGAGACCAGAGAGAGACCAGAGAGAGACCAGAGAGAGACCAGAGAGAGACCAGAGAGAGAGACCAGAGAGAGACCAGAGAGAGACCAGAGAGAGACCAGAGAGAGGCCAGAGAGAGGCCAGAGAGAGACCAGAGAGAGACCAGAGAGAGACCAGAGAGAGACCAGAGAGAGAGACCAGAGAGAGACCAGAGAGAGACCAGAGAGAGACCAGAGAGAGACAAGAGAGAGACCAGAGAGATATGAAGTATTAGAATGGTTTTTTTGTCTATTTCAAAGCCACACAAAGACTGAACCAGTCCATAGTTTGTTCATGCCCCAGACTTTGAGAAGTATTGCGTTTCAAAGCAAAACCAGAGGCAAAAACAAAACCATCAATAATTCAATCACGTTTTCGACCAAATCCCAAAAACCTGCAAATCTGTGCCAAGCTAACGGCGTGGAGCGCTAACACGGTGGAAACTGCACTCGCTCACATGATGAAAGAGGAACTTGTCAACCACTCGCCCACTCCTGCCAGCGAGGATCCAGGCGTCTCTCCCCTAATGCCCACCGGGGGTGCTGCGTCAGAGCTGACACTGATGTCACACGTGAAGAAGAGAAGGATAAAAGCCAAGTCTGCGAAATACTGAAGCTAATGTTGGCTCCTCCCCCTTCTGCAGCAGCATGTAGCGTCCAACTGTGTCACTGTTTATGGTATCGTGTCTGCTCTGGTCTCTCTCTGGTCTCTCTCTGGTCTCTCTCTGGTCTCTCTCTCTAGTCTCTTTCTGGTCTCTCTCTAGTCTCTCTCTGTTCTCTCTCTAGTCTCTTTCTGGTCTCTCTCTAGTCTCTCTCTGTTCTCTCTCTAGTCTCTCTCTGGTCTCTCTCTAGTCTCTCTCTCTGGTCTCTCTCTGGTCTCTCTCTGGTCTCTCTCTGGTCTCTCTCTGGTCTCTCTCTGTTCTCTCTCTAGTCTCTCTCTAGTCTCTCTCTGTTCTCTCTCTAGTCTCTCTCTGGTCTCTCTCTAGTCTCTCTCTGGTCTCTCTCTGGTCTCTCTCTAGTCTCTCTCTGGTCTCTTTCTGGTCTCTCTCTGGTCTCTCTCTAGTCTCTCTCTCTCGTCTCTTTCTCGTCTCTCTCTGGTCTCTCTCTGTTCTCTCTCTGGTCTCTCTCTCTAGTCTCTTTGTCTCTCTCGTCTCTTTCTGGTCTCTCTCGTCTCTCTCCATATACATCAGTGGAATCGAACACCAACTGAATCCCTTCTTCAAATGAATAGCTATCGTTCAGTTATTACCCATAAGCCTCAGTGCCTTTTTGCGATCTCAAAACCCGCCTGAAGGACGAGAACAGACGAGATCCACGAGACAAACAAATCAAAGTTTCATCGCCGTGGGCAACAAAACAAAGTCATTCTGCAATAACACTTCATCATGAGAACCAGCTCTGACCCATTTCTCTCCCGTCCATTTGGACCATGTTGGTTGGACCATGTGGGTTGGACCACTTTGCCTCCCGTGGCTCTCGCATTACCCATAATGCTCGGTGTGCTTGGATAATTACTGATGTGATTGCAGACCGGCGGTTTGAATAAAACACTGAAGAAAACAGAAACAAAGACAAATTAGAATCTGAACCTCTCATGTTTGGGGTCATTACCAACATGAGATTAGATTAGCTTCAGACGCTAACGGCAACGATAATAAACTAGCTGGTCTCTCTCTGGTCTCTCTCTGGTCTCTCTCTGGTCTCTCTTTGGTCTCTCTCTGGTCTCTCTCTAGTCTCTCTCTAGTCTCTCTCTGGTCTCTCTCTGGTCTCTCTCTGGTCTCTCTCTGGTCTCTCTCTCTGGTCTCTCTCTGGTCTCTCTCTGGTCTCTCTCTGGTCTCTCTCTCTGGTCTCTCTCTGGTCTCTCTTTGGTCTCTCTCTGGTCTCTCTCTAGTCTCTCTCTAGTCTCTCTCTGGTCTCTCTCTGGTCTCTCTCTGGTCTCTGGTCTCTCTCTTCTCTTCCTAGTCTCTCTTTTGTCTCTTATGACTCTCTCTCTGGTCCCTCTTTGGTCTCTCTCTGGTCTCTCTTTTGTCTCTCTCTTTTGACTCTCTCTCTGGTCTCTAGTCTCTTTCTTGTCGCTCTCTCTCTGGTCTCTCTCTCTCTTTCTCTAATTTCTCTCTAGTCTCTCTCTGGTCTCTCTCTAGTCTCTCTCTGGTCTCTGGTCTCTCTCTTCTCTTCCTAGTCTCTCTTTTGTCTCTTATGACTCTCTCTCTGGTCCCTCTTTGGTCTCTCTCTGGTCTCTCTTTTGTCTCTCTCTTTTGACTCTCTCTCTGGTCTCTCTCTCTCTTTCTCTAATTTCTCTCTGGTCTCTCTCTGGTATCTCTCTTGTCTCTCTCTCTGGTCTCTCGCTCTTGTCTCTCTCTCTGGTCTCTCTCTCTTCTCTCTGGTCTCTCTCTTATATCTCTCTTGTCTCTCTCTCTGGTCTCTCTCTTGTCTTCTCTCTGGTCTCTCTCTTATATCTCTCTGGTCTCTCTGGCTGGTCTCTCTCTGGTCACCCTCTGGTCTATCTCCTGTCTTTCTATCTTGTCTCTCTCTCTGGTCTCTCTCCTCTTTACTCTTTCTCCCCCCTCTCTTCTCTCTCTCTCTCCTCTCTCTCTCTCTCTCTCTCTCTCTCTTCTCTCTTCTCTCTCTCTCTCTCTCTCTGTCTCTCTCCCCCTCTCTCTTCTCTCTCTCTCTCTTCTCTCTCTCTCTCTCTCTCTCTGTCTCTCTCCCCCTCTCTCTTCTCTCTCTCTCTCTCTGTCTCTCTCCCCCTCTCTCCTTCTCTCTCTTTCTCTCTCTCTCTCTCTCTCTCACATGTAAACAGTCCGTTCAACTCCCAAACATAAGAAACCAAAACACCAGCACTCATCTCCTCCGAACAAAGAGAAACCTTATCTCCTCCCGTCTCGGGGGCGCCACGGCCACTGGAGCCGGCAGCCATTTTGTGATGTACGGTCGAGCGATTAGGCCGCATTAGGAACTATGTAAAGTGGAACAGAGAAGAAGAAGAGGAGGAGGAGGAGGCTGTGAGGCAGAGATACAGGCTCTGAGAGAATGCATAATGGTTGGATTGGTCAGCAGAGAGAGAGTACCCCCCTGACACAGCTGCATTCAAGTCTGAGAATGAGAGTTAGCGAAACGGCAGCTGTGCTATTATCTGTTAGCGTGTAAATATTTGAACATGAGGCAGATGTGGAGGACCATCAGGGAGACCATCAGGGAGACCATCAGGGAGACCATCAGGGAAACCATCAGCAGAGTTAGACCATTTAGTTTGGGAGGGATTGTTAAAGGAAATGCATCCAGTTCAGCTCTCTCTCTCTGGTCTCTCTCTCTCTGGTCTCTCTCCGGCCTCCATCTTGGGTCTCGCTCTCTCTCTCTGCTCTCTCTCTGGTCTCTCTCTCTCTAGTGTCTCTCTCTCTGGTCTCTGTCTCCCTGGTGTCTCTCTCTCTCTGGTGTCTCTCTGCTCTCTCTGGTCTCTTTCTCTGGCCTCCATCTCAGGTCTCTCTCTCTCTGCTTTATCTCTGGTCTCTCTCTCTGGTCTCTCTCTCTCTGGTCTCTCTCTCTGGTCTCTCTCTCTCTGGTCTCTC